GATGACTAATCGGATAGATTGTATAAATTGAGTATACTTAAATATTTAGGATCTAAAGCACATAATGTTTAATAGTTATTCTTTACGACCGTACTATATTTTAAACAAAAACCAATTTGTCCTTTACTACCTAATACATCTTTAGAGAAACTAGAATAATGCTTTACTTCCTAGAAATATGAAGATTTATCTTATACGTCTTCTATCTGGAAACTAAATTGAACTTTACCATAAGGGTGAGCGTTGAATGAACGAACAGTTTTTTTCGACAGTTTATTTGCTGTCGACTGTTAGACCGGTTTATAGTCTACTGATAAACTAGTTTACTCGTGAATGACATTTTGCATTGCGCAGTACCTACATAATTACATACAAAGTCGAGCGTTTGCCGAAACTGTTTCGCTGGTCACTCGTCGATCAAGCATTCCGTTTTCTTCACACTGCTTGTTTCAACGGCTATCTAGAGATTCGCAAAACAGTGCGTTTTAAAGTGATGTAATATTTTTTTTTATAGGATAAGGGTGACAAACGAGCACACAGTCCACCTGATGGTAAGTGGTTGCTGCGGCCCATAGACATCTACATCTATCCTCTATTGCAAATCAAAATGCAGATGCGTTGTCACCCGTGAGGACTAAGATGAAATGCCTCATTTCCAGTAAAAAGGGCCTCCGGCCACCTGCACTCACCAAGCGAAACGCAGAGGTAAACCTCTACTTCACGCTGGTTTTCTGTGAGGTAATATGACATTACATTTCGCACCGAGGAATGTTACGTTATACCATGACTCCAAACATGACGCGAAATGACAATACACAGGATGGCTATGTAATGAAATGCTCGCGTTGTAGAAGATATGCTTGCGTTGTGATGTGACAATTGCAAAAAAAAAACTTCACTTATTTCTTAACCAGCCGACCGCCGCTTGCTCCTTCTCGCTTACACACAGCGAAAATTAACGAGATAATACGGACACCGAAGAAAGCGCTACGCGTCATGTTTGAGTGGCATGTGCTATGTTTGATTTGGTCGAGTCATGTGTAATGCTACAGTACGCGGCCGGGTTATATGACGCGTAATGCAACAAACGCATTACTTACACAAGTCTACGGCTATCTCTCTTTCTGCACGTGTTCGACTCTCGAAGTGGGCGGTGTTTTGTAAAAGTAAGCTGTATTACAATGCTTATAGATATGAAATATGCATGTCAATATATGTAGCCAGATTTTTGAATTTTGTTGACATTATTTTTTTAGTCTCCATTGAAATGCGCTTTGTATAGTTCAAGTTAAACGTATTTAGTAGTTTTCTAAATTGAGAGATTAACTAAAATATAATTGTTCACAGTATTAAGTTCTAAGTGTTAATAGTGAATAGTATAAACAGGAATAGTGGTACTTAAGTATTTAAGTGGTCAAATAGTGTAAATATTAACTATGTTGGCGTCGGCCCGTAAAAACAGTGGAGTGATATGGCACCATTTTGAATAAGACAATAAAACTTAAGCAACGTGTAATGAATGTAAAGATGTATTAAGTTATAAGTCGTCCACCGCCAATTTAAAAAATCATCTGTGAAAAAACATCCTTCGGTTTATTTATCGGTGTTCGAAGCTGATGATGACCGATCCGGTCATTCATGCCGACCAACGACACGTTTAGATGTAAACAAAACAGCGAAGTGATAACGGCGTTTTGTCTTAGCTCAGGTTGTCTTTTAACCTTTCTAATATTTTTTTCTGAAATATAAGAATTTCACCCAACCTAGGTGATCAGTCAGTGTACCGTACAAGGTAGATATAAGTTAGATGAATAACTAATTTTATTTCTAGAAGATTGTATTGATGTGCAACGTCCACGACAGCGAAATATGATAAAAGGTACGAACGGGACATATTATGTAAAAATACCGATACGAGTACAAAAATAAACATAAATAAAAATATTTATCTTTGTACTGACTAATTTAATTACCATTAAACAAATACAGCAATTGTTAATGGAATATTTTCCTACAAATTATTGTGTGTATTTTATTTAATTCTGACCTAGAGATTTAGAGTGAGTTGACGGTTCTCATACCTAGCCTAATTTGTAGCATTTTGACTCCCTTATCATGCTATGCCAGGAAGTTGTCGAGTTCCCACTAACCCTGTATAATATGGTTTTAAACGGGAGAGTAAATTAATTAGATTTTTGTGTTTGATTAATAAACATCGTTTCATAAATTCGTACAATACGGCCGACGTATCTTGGCGAGTCCGACCTTCGCGCAGAAGGTTGCGCAATAGCTTTTTTAAGGAACAAAATGGTGGCATGAGGCGACGTACGGGGGGCGGTGGTCTAGGCTAGAGATTGACCATAAGTAAACACAATCGACCCTTTAGTCATAAAATATCGCAATCGATTAGTTTTATTTAGAAGTTATTGATTTTTGTTTATATAAGATATTAAACGAAATAGATTTACAAATATAGTGAATTTTGTTGATAATAAACAAGATTTCGACTTAAATAAAAAAAAAAAACTAAAAACATATTATTTTCTCAGCTGAAAGACATAATGTACTTAAATATCAATTATCTATTAACGTCTTCTTGAGTAACGACTATTTGAGAAAATTTAGAACCTCCTTATAAATTGCAAATAAATATATTTTTATGTCTTAATTTTAATCGATTTGAATAAAAATCGATTAAACAACACCCTCAGGCACGCGTGTTGGACATCCCTTTCTGGTTACTTCGTAAAGCTTCGTGCTTATTCGGCAATGCTCGGTACACGGTAATATTTCTCAGTCACACGTTAGCATTGGTGTCGTGTTCGTGTCGCTATCTCTGTCTTGAGCACAGTCGGTTACAAAAGTTTTCGTTGTTATTGTTGTTTGTTTTTATTAATAGTGTTAAGTTTGTTTTGTTTGTTTTATTTGTTTTATTTGTTTTATTTGCAAGTGTCAGTTAGCACTTATATTATTCGCCAAACATGCCACCAAAACATAACAGTGTGTTAAATCGCCAGGCGAGAAAAATTATTTACGATTTAACGCAATATATGAAAAAAGAAAAAGAAGAAGGCGTAAAAGATGTCGATAAAGTTTATTTAAGAGTTGCTAACGCAACTGGTGTGTCCCAACGCACAGTACAGCGGATCGCAACTGAAGGCAATATTTCGGGCTTACTTTCAGTATTCCGCACGCCTGGTAAAAAAAGGTCTAGATCAAAACCTATTACTGATATGGATAATTTTGACCAGGGAGTAGTAAAAAGATGCATACACAACTTCCACAAAACTGAAAAAGAAATGCCGACGATAAACAAATTACTAGCGAAACTCAAACGGGATATAAATTTTCAAGGTGGTAAAACGAGCTTAAAGACAATTATCAAAAACTTGGGTTTCAAGTGGCGAAAGACCGAAACCAATAGAATGGTTCTTATAGAGAAGACCGACATTCGCCTGAAAAGGATCTTGTACTTGAAGGCAATGAAAAAATACAGGGACGAAGGGCGACCAATTGTATTCACTGACGAGTCGTATGCCCACTCATCACATACAAAAGGTAAGGCGTGGTCAGATGGTTCCGCTCAAGGACTAAAGCGCCCGATATCAAAAGGTCAGCGGATAGTGATGGTACACGCTGGGTCAGAAGCAGGGTTTGTTCCGAACGCGCTACTAATGTTCAAATCTGGCAGCAAAACCGGAGACTATCATGATGACATGAATTTCAAAAATTATGAGAAATGGTTACGGACCCAACTGATTCCAAATTTGAGCCCTAACTCGGTGGTGGTTATCGATAATGCTCCGTACCACAACAAATTAATGGATCCTGCCCCTACATCTAATGACAAGAAGGCAAAAATGGAATCGTGGTTATTAGAAAAGGGTATACCATATGAAAAGGACATGCGTAAACCACAACTTTACGATCTAATAAAAAAAAACAAAGACGTGAATAAAAAATACGTAATAGATGAAATGTTTAAACAAAACAACCACGATGTCCTTCGTTTACCCCCATATCATCCCGATTTAAACCCCATCGAGATGGTGTGGGCTGCCATTAAAGGGCACGTAGCCGCTAAAAACGTCGACTGGAACGTAACCCGGACAATGGAGCTCATACAAGAAAAAGTAAATTTAATGGGTCAGAATGAATGGAGTGCTTTATGCAGAAAAGTGCAAGAGGTCGAACATGACTATAGGAAGAGCGACCATATTATTGACGAAATGACGGATCAATTATTCATCATTAATACAGCTTCAGATTCAGAAAGTGAGTCTGAAAGTGAGAGCGACGATTACGAAGATGAACCTATGCCAAGTACCTCACATGGTACACAAGGGGCCGACGACTTTATGTTAGGAATTTCCCCCCTCAGCGACAGTGATTAAATAATAATAAGTGTAAATAAATAAAAAGTATTAAATGTAAATAATATTGTATGTGTTTGTGATAAAATCTGCCCCTATCGAAAGGTGAGGTATCAAAATTGAATCTTTAATTTATAATGTCTCCAAAGTGTTTTGATATTTTTGGTCACTGTATTAGGGAAATTTTATTTGTACATTGGTATATATAAAAAAATGACAATAACAGTTTTCTTCACGAGTGTTCATGCGCTAAACTTCGCAGAGCCTATATTCAGACTCGCCAAGATACGTCGGCCGTATTATACCTATGTTTTATTGAGCTAAAACATACCTTATAATTATCGCTTACCTAATATTTACAAATACTTACATAATCAAATTAATAACTTAAGTATAATAACGCATAGGCATCAATTTTACGCTTGGCATAATGGGCATTGAGCGATACGCGCGCTGTATATTTTGCTTATTTGTACTCTAAGTTCTGAATACTCTTTATCTATTGTTCTAAGGGGTCCCTTAATTAAATTAAATTATTATATACTCTTTGGAGGGATTCATAACTTTTACAAGTAATAAATCCAATTGGATTTTTCGAGCTTTGAAGAGTTAAAGAGAACCACTCACCTGCCGCGACAACTTCTGCTTCTGTTGTCTTAGCTCCGATAACCTTTCTGATACTTCATTGTATTCCGTCATGGCCAGTTTGCATTGCGACAACGCGTCTTTTAATTCTTTGTCCTGAAACAATTGAAATGCACTATTCTATAGGAAGCCAACAACAACCGTTTAGAACTTAGGAAGGTAGATGTAGATATGTGTAACAGTATTACACAAGCACCGCGCAATTTTGCGTCACTTAGTTCACTCACATAGAGGAATGTTCTTGAGCACTTCTGGTATTGCACGAATCTTATTTTATATTATTTTTATAAACTGTAATTCGGTAAAATATAAAAGGAATGTGTTACGGCCTACGGCTGCTCCCATAAAGATTCAATCCTCCGGGGCCCATCAGCGGAGTTTCAACGAACAGACGTAGGTTGGGCCTCAATATGGCCGCGTGGAAAGTCTCTAATTACAATAAACAATAAGGGGGAGCGTTTTATACTACTGCCATTCAACAGGGAGAATATTAAACCGAGCTTACTTACCTATATCCAAGGCGACTGGTCCCTCAGGATTCGGTCAGGTCGTATGTGGTTGTGTGGTGCAAGGGAAATAAGGTGCTGTGATGTGTATCTGGGTGTGACTGGTGGTGATTGACCTTATTAGACCTTTGCCGTCGGCAGCAGCCCGGACGTCAGCACCGCTCCAAATTGAGGTAATCTTTCGCGGCGCCGTCCACAGTCACTTTTTTCGTTCGTCACGATGACAGTCCATTAACTCTATCGTACGATTAACTAACTTACAGAAGCCACTAACTCTCGTTTGTTATAAAGCTTAACACACAAAACGAACACGGAGTGTCCGGATCAAAGGTCACTACCGTTTCGCGTGGGAACAGTTATTTCTAGAATATCAAAGGCCGCACTAGCTAATATTGTCGAATGCACCAATAAGTCCCGGGAAATGCTATCCAACAAGGAATGCGCGTTACAAATCCTAGAGAGTATATTTACTAGACGCCTAAACCATTCCGCGTTTCCCGCCCAAAAATTGACGGCGTGCTGACGTTAGCACAGCTGGCTGACGACTCCTATTTGCCCTCGCACGTTCTACGCACGACCGAACGTCAAACCGGTATCGCCGAGCCGCGCGCCCTCTGACGTCAATCCCGAAGTCAGCGTTCGGGCGTAAAGAGAATGATAAGTAATTTTTCCTTTCTACATTTTATTTTATAAATTTACTAGCTGGTATTCGGCGTATTGTTATTGCAGAAAAACAATTATGGAAAAATCGTTTTAAATTTGGAAGATATATGTATAATATATATCATAATATGGATGATAAATGATGAGGCTTGAATTCTTCGTACGCGTCCGTCGGTCGCGCGTACGTAATGTACATTTTGTCGTACATAGCCCACATTACGAAGCTGACGACAGCGCCGCGTACCGCGTAGCTTGCTGCGCGTCGGTGTCGCGCGTATCTGTGTACGTCGGTCGACGGACGAGTGGGGAGTAGTGCGAGCGTCGTCACACTATTACCGACGATTCATGTGTGCACGTACACTTGCAATCAATATCGATACAGAACGTCTTATTTACCTAGTATTTTGTACAAAGATGGGAGAGTAAAATACTGGGTACAAATTTTCGAGGCTATTTCCAGATTACAATAATGATCGACGATAGTAAAAAAGGAGATCGGTAAGTAAAACACAATGTTAATAATCATAATTATTAACATTGTATTTTACTGACCGATCTCCTTTCCGAAATCAACTTAGCAGACGACTGTACCGTATAGAGCTCGGTATTGCACTATGGTATTTTATTTCTCGCTGACGTACGAGACCGACTGTACGCAACCGACGTCAGCGTAAGGCAACTTGCTCACTGCGCGCGGCGCACTGGGCACGTTGCCATTTGTCGCGCCACGGGGCAGTGTGAGCCGCCGTAGCCTCAGCGTAACATCAACATTAATCGTCATCAAACATCGTCAAAAACACCTTCAATAACAACATACCTGTAACCTCAACTTCTCTAACGCATCCGTCTTATCTTTCACCAGTTCCTCCTTCTCCAAGTTGAGTGACGCGACAAGCAACTCCATCTCCCGAAGGCGCGTTGGGACGTCTTGCGCTGTGCTCGACGGGTCCTAGAAGATATTAAAATGTGAGTGCAAATTGCCTATATGAAACGTTATGAACTTCCTTTTTAAAATATAAGCTAATACTTGTTGATACTATCATATTTAATCACCAGAAATTCTCAATATTTACCCGGAGTCTGGAAGTTGGCGGTGTCTTACCACTGTACCTCGAAAAGCAGGTAAAGCAGTTGTTCCTGCTCCTGATCTTTCTCCGGACGTGTGAGTTTACCGTCCCAACAGACTATGAGCGTAAAGGAATAAAAAGTGCACCTGTGCTTGCGCATACACTTGAAAACTCTAATCGTGTCCTGCACAAATGGCTACTCTCCGTTGAAACTGGCCGCCGTGACCGAAATTCGGACTGGAGGACATTATTATTATTTGATCACCTGATGATAAATGATAAAGCCGAAGACGGTATAACACACTGACTACTCTAGACAATAGGCTGTTCACTCTTAAATTGAAAGCAAAACACAATGGAAAGATAAATGCTAAAAAGCTAATTGTACAGTTGTCTAACACTCTTTATTTTCGTTCAATACAGCCGTTTAACCGAGGCATATAAACCTACTCAAATATTCTCTTTCAAAAAAAGTAAAAACAAGATGCGATTTAATCATTTTAATTAAAAAAAAACAGATAGAGCATTGTTCTAAATTCCTTTACAAAGCTCTTTTTGAAAGTAAAAAAACTACTCCGCCGTTTCAACAAGTCCCTACTGCGGGAGACCGTTTGAATTTCTCTATTTAATTTTTAAATATTTTCCCTTTAACTTTTCTACTCCGACGTAAAATCATAAATATAGGTCGTTAAACAAAAAAAAGTGAAATTGTGAACATTTTTCATGAATGTCAAATAACAATTTTTATGGCTCACTTCGAACTTAGTAAAGTAAGCACAGAATTATCATTTGCTCTCGACTCTGGATATGTCAAAATGGAGATTACTCACGGAGTTCAAATTCAAATAAGATATGCTTAAGACTTCACAGTCTCGAAGCAATAAATCTTAGTCGTCATGTGTGACAAACTGAAGTCTTCTTTGTTTGTAATTGGATGCAGGTCTCAAACCTATCACACCAGGTGGACATATTGTTTTCTCACTTAACTATTATTCAACAAAAGGCTTCTATTAAGACAATGTAAATACTAATAATCGTTTTAGCGTAAATGAATTGATGAATATTCTTTCTAACCTGTGAGGCAACGGTGGTACTAATTTGCTCGTAGCACCTCACTTGCGCTTCCAAGTCGCAATTCCTTTTGGACAGAGCCGCCATTTCCTCTTTCAGTTGCATCAATTCTTCTGAAATAAGAAATAGCTTGATCAAGTTACACATAAGTGTGTAAGGGAAAATATCAATGTATCCTACAAACATCAATCTCGTAATAATATTACTATCAGGTGGACTGTGTGCCCGTTTGTTACCCTAATTTTATATTAAAAAAATCTGTGAAGTATCGAGCTTATATATAATAACTAGAGATCCGCCCCGGCTTCTCACGGGCGATTTCTGGATCTCGACAACAGCGCCACCTACCGGGTCAAATTTCATCAAAATCGATCGAGCCGTATTTGAGTTTTAGCGCGACTAACGGACAGCAATAGATTTTTATATATATACTAGCTAACCAGCCAGACGTTGTTCTGCCCTTTCCAACGACCCTTCCTATAAAAATCCTTAAATTCGCAATAAAAAATGTTGGGGGTCATTTATCGGGATAAAAACTATCCTATCTCTCAAGTTGGACCAAAATGCACGCAGTTTGCAAAATTTCATTGAAATCAGTTCAGTAGTTTAGGAGTTCATCGCGGACAAACAACGTGACACGTAATTTTTATATATAATAAAGATAGATATGACGTAAGAGGCGTTGCCGACAGATCTATAGAATAATGACAAACAAAAGAAAAAGTTGGAGGGTATGTCACGATTGACAATAAAATGGATTTGGGTAAATGATTTCACAGAGAGATTTGTAGATACTTTGTTGTGATATTACCCCTAAAATTAGGTTACTATTGTATGTTTCGTCTCATTAGCCTCATTTGACTTTTGACTGCCTCGTTGTCCTAGTGGTCGCAAGCGCGACTGCTGATATTATGATTGTGGCACGAATGTGTCGGCTCGACCGGGGTAAGACCACGCTCTCACAGAATGCCAGCGTAAAACAGCAGCTTAATGCTGCTGTGTTGCGTTTGGTGAGTGTAGAGAACCGGAGACCCTTTTTACTGGAAACGAGGCATTCCATCTTAATCCTCACGGGTGACAGCTAATCTGCATTTTGGTTCTAAATCGAGGATAAATGTACATGTCTATGGGCCTCAGCATAGACTTACCATCAGGTGGACTGTGTCCTCGTATGTCACCCATATTCTATAAAAAAAAAATCCCGAACTTAGTACCTATTTTTTTAAGTCACTACTAAATATAAAACAAGTAGCTGCATAATCTAGTTCTACCGCATTATAAAATAAAATTGATTGTTACAATGAACAACTTACCGCTGCCGTTCTCTAAGCCAGAGCCACCAGCTCTAAGTTCCGCTATTGTCTGCGCCAGCAAAGCATTTTCGCGTTCTAGTGCTTTTAATGCAGCACGATCACCAGCGTTTGATGGAGCCTGCAGACGTAATTGGTGTTATTGATACAATTAAAATAGCAGATTAATGCTGTTGTGTTTTGTATAGTGAGTGTAGAAAACCGGAATCCCTTTTTACTAGAAACAAGGTATTCCATCTTAGCCCTCGGGGGTGACAATTCATCTGTATTTTGGTTCTTAATTGAGTATGAATGTGGATGTTTATGGGCCACAACATGAACTGGTGAAAAGGTGGACTGTGTGTTTTTTTTTTTTGCCATCCTTATTTTATAAAAAATGTCTTCTTCAATTACTAGGTGCGCCTTGAGATACCATGGCCAACTGTCAGCTGTCTGCTGGCTGAAGTTGTTGTTAAAATCTCCCAAGGGCTGCACAATGTGACGCATCAACATATTGTGAAGCAGTGTACTATGAAGAATAATTATACATTGTAACTTCAGGCTCAGAAGGGCTAGAACCCAGAGCCGTGAAGCCGTGACTACGCGTGCACATATTATCTGCTCTGGTACGTGACTTACTACTAGTGGTGCAGTGTATTTATCCTGCCACGTACGGTATGGTACATGTCTACTCTGGCAGTGAGTACTCTGTACATGTGTAGTGTGTGCGTGTACCTGGCTGGGAGCGTTCTTGGCGGGGCTGAGCGGTGCGGGCGCGCCCAGGTCGGACAGGCGCGAGCCCGCGGTGAACGTGAACGGCACGTGACTACGCGCTCTGCCTACTCTGGCAGTGAGTACTCTGTACATGTGTAGTGTGTGCGTGTACCTGGCTGGGAGCGTTCTTGGCGGGGCTGAGCGGTGCGGGCGCGCCCAGGTCGGACAGGCGCGAGCCCGCGGTGAACGTGAACGGCACGTGACTACGCGCTCTGCCTACTCTGGCAGTGAGTACTCTGTACATGTGTAGTGTGTGCGTGTACCTGGCTGGGAGCGTTCTTGGCGGGGCTGAGCGGTGCGGGCGCGCCCAGGTCGGACAGGCGCGAGCCCGCGGTGAACGTGAACGGCACGTGACTACGCGCTCTGCCTACTCTGGCAGTGAGTACTCTGTACATGTGTAGTGTGTGCGTGTACCTGGCTGGGAGCGTTCTTGGCGGGGCTGAGCGGTGCGGGCGCGCCCAGGTCGGACAGGCGCGAGCCCGCGGTGAACGTGAACGGCACGTGACTACGCGCTCTGCCTACTCTGGCAGTGAGTACTCTGTACATGTGTAGTGTGTGCGTGTACCTGGCTGGGAGCGTTCTTGGCGGGGCTGAGCGGTGCGGGCGCGCCCAGGTCGGACAGGCGCGAGCCCGCGGTGAACGTGAACGGCACGTGACTACGCGCTCTGCCTACTCTGGCAGTGAGTACTCTGTACATGTGTAGTGTGTGCGTGTACCTGGCTGGGAGCGTTCTTGGCGGGGCTGAGCGGTGCGGGCGCGCCCAGGTCGGACAGGCGCAAGCCCGCGGTGAACGTGAACGGCACGTGACTACGCGCTCTGCCTACTCTGGCAGTGAGTACTCTGTACATGTGTAGTGTGTGCGTGTACCTGGCTGGGAGCGTTCTTGGCGGGGCTGAGCGGTGCGGGCGCGCCCAGGTCGGACAGGCGCGAGCCCGCGGTGAACGTGAACGGCACGTGACTACGCGCTCTGCCTACTCTGGCAGTGAGTACTCTGTACATGTGTAGTGTGTGCGTGTACCTGGCTGGGAGCGTTCTTGGCGGGGCTGAGCGGTGCGGGCGCGCCCAGGTCGGACAGGCGCGAGCCCGCGGTGAACGTGAACGGCACGTGACTACGCGCTCTGCCTACTCTGGCAGTGAGTACTCTGTACATGTGTAGTGTGTGCGTGTACCTGGCTGGGAGCGTTCTTGGCGGGGCTGAGCGGTGCGGGCGCGCCCAGGTCGGACAGGCGCGAGCCCGCGGTGAACGTGAACGGCACGTGACTACGCGCTCTGCCTACTCTGGCAGTGAGTACTCTGTACATGTGTAGTGTGTGCGTGTACCTGGCTGGGAGCGTTCTTGGCGGGGCTGAGCGGTGCGGGCGCGCCCAGGTCGGACAGGCGCGAGCCCGCGGTGAACGTGAACGGCACGTGACTACGCGCTCTGCCTACTCTGGCAGTGAGTACTCTGTACATGTGTAGTGTGTGCGTGTACCTGGCTGGGAGCGTTCTTGGCGGGGCTGAGCGGTGCGGGCGCGCCCAGGTCGGACAGGCGCGAGCCCGCGGTGAACGTGAACGGCACGTGACTACGCGCTCTGCCTACTCTGGCAGTGAGTACTCTGTACATGTGTAGTGTGTGCGTGTACCTGGCTGGGAGCGTTCTTGGCGGGGCTGAGCGGTGCGGGCGCGCCCAGGTCGGACAGGCGCGAGCCCGCGGTGAACGTGAACGGCACGTGACTACGCGCTCTGCCTACTCTGGCAGTGAGTACTCTGTACATGTGTAGTGTGTGCGTGTACCTGGCTGGGAGCGTTCTTGGCGGGGCTGAGCGGTGCGGGCGCGCCCAGGTCGGACAGGCGCGAGCCCGCGGTGAACGTGAACCCCACGAACGGCAAGTGGCGTCCGGAGAAAGCGGCCGACGGCGGGGGAGGGGGCACCGCTTCCGACAACCTGACACACAACATCCGCTTTTATTTATGAAGACATACAAGATGAATGTTGTTATATATGTTTATATTGCATGTATTTATATATATATATATTTATATATATGTAGACACGTCTATAAAATACTGCCTAGGTCGAGAGTATAGGTTTTAAACTAGCGAAGCGTTGTTTCTTTTTGTAACGCGGAAACCGTGGTTGTTTATATGATTTTTGAGAAAACATCATTGGGGAAGCGTACCATATATTTGCGACTAATTGCTGACGATCTGTTTATTATATTTTCTTGTACTTTATGTTGTAACACACGCATATTTGAGCGATCCATCATGAGAACATCTGAGGATGATCCTCTTTCGCCTACATAAGCCGCGCTTTTTGTGGATATTATAGGATTATCTGAGGTCCGAAAAGAAAAGAGGACACGGTAATCCTCGAATCTGGCAACTTGTTCTATCACCGGGAGAGCGACCATCTGCCCCAAGGAGGTGTCGGATTTATCGTCCACAAGTCTCTCGTTAACAACGTTGTAAAGATTGTGAATGTGTCGATGAGTGTCACCTATTCGTTGAAGGTTGGTCATAAATGTCTACGCACCAACCTTGGCACATCCCGATGAGCAGGTGGAGGAAATGTATGAGGATATCTCTAAAGCTGGTAATGGTAGACTTCAACGCAAAACTAGGCACAAGAGAGAAAGATGAGCTGAAGGTAGACAGTAGATTTGAAACACAAGGGCATTTTTTTACAGAAGAGGGGGCAAACGAGCATGCGGCTCACCTGATGGTGACTACCGCCGCCCATGAACAACCGCTACATCAGGGGAATTACAGATGCGTTGCTGACCTTTTAGAAAGGTGTAAGCTCTTTTCTTGAAGGTCCTTAAGTCGTATCGGTCCGAAAAAATCGCCAGCGGTAACAATTCCACAGAGAAGTTGTACGAGGAAGAAAATTTTAAGTAAAAAGCACAGTGGTGGAACCCCGCCAATCATTCAGATGGTGAGGATGGTATCGTGAATTTTGACGCGATGTGCGTTCGTGAAATTTGGCGGCTGAAATTAATCCGAACAATTCTTCAGAGCACTCCCCGTGGTAGATTCGATAGAAAATGCAAAGGAATGCAACATCCTTACGCAACGCCAGTGAATAGAGCCGATCAGAAAGAACAAGTGGAAGGAGCTGGCACTGAGGAGCCCCTGCCCAGAGATGGGAACAGTATTCCAATTTCCAAGTGAGGCCGAACCTGCGCCTTGTAAAGTTGCAAACGGTGTGCCAGCATGAAATACTGTCCCGCTCTGCTGAGCACGCCAAGCTTTTTAGAGGCCAATTTGGCCTTCTCTTCCAAGTGACCACGAAATTACACGTCACTCGATATGTCGACACCGAGGATTCCGATACTGCCTGAGGCAACAAGGGGAGTGCCTCGAAACTGAGGAGATACGACAAAGGAGTTCTTTTTAGCAGTAAACCCGCAAGCTTATGTCTTCTGGGGATTGAACTGGACTAGATTTAGTCGCCCCCAGTCTGAGACTTTGTTCAACAAAGTCTGGATTTCAGACACATATTTGTTCCGGTACTCGGCGACTTTTTCCCGAGAAATATTAGCACGGCCGGTGTATAAAGCATCACCAGTGCTGTCGTCTGCATTGCAATGAATGTTACTAGTTTACAACATATCATTGACTAGCTGCTCCCCGCGGCTTCACCCGCGTGGAATATGTTACGATTTGTTACGATATACTTTAATATTTTTGCGCGGAATCTGATTATTTTTCTAATATAAAAGTTACTCCTTATTACATCAGTTATATGATAGTCGAAAATAATATTATAGGGCGCGCGTTGAGACACAACTATACGCAATAGCCAGCTCTCGCGTTCTGAGCCCGCGTGACAGTTAGCCTTTGTAATAATGTCTTTCGGTGCGGCCATGGCGGCGGCGTTTGCGTGGGGCGCGCGCGGTACTGGGCATTATTATATCTATAAAGTTTTCTCATCTGGTTGGGCTGTATAAATATATAAATGAAAGTGATAAACTTACATAAATATCAATAAAATAAAATAAATACATAAAAAATACATAAATATATAAAAATACACCAGATGGAAGCCCTCGGCAGGGGAGATCAAACGGCCGAGGGTTAGGGTGAAAGGGAAAGAAACCGGCGGACGATGCGGGCGGTATCGAGGAGCACCGCCTTCTATATTTGAGCTTGAGCGATCCGTCACGGAGTCCCAGTCGCCTCAGATGACCCGAGAGGCTGACTGGGATTAACCCGTTCGCAGAAACGACCACAGGAATAAGCTTATCTGTGTCGGCTTTCACGAGGTTCTCGTCATAAGGAATGGTAATGTCGACAAAAAATATCCTTGAAAGTGCCCGGTCCATCAGCACAATATCAGGCTTATTCGCAACAATAGTCCTGTCTGTGATGATGGCCCGGTCCCAGTAGAGCCTGGCGCGGTCATTTTCGAGCACGGCTTCCGGCATGTACTTATAATAAGGCAGTTTCCGATCCACGAGACCGTATTTTAGAGCGAGCTCTTGGTGTAGAACCCTGGCTACTAGGTTGTGCCTATGCAAGTACTCAGAGTTAGAAAGTGCCGAACAACCGGAGATGACATGCCTAAGTGATTCACCGGGATGGCGACAAGCTCGACAAATGTCGACGGTGCCATCCCTTAGGATGTATCTCCGATAGTTGTTGGTCTTAATAACCTATTATATCTTATTATTATATTATTATTATACTTAGTGTTTACATTCGATTATGTTGAATGTATATTATATATTATTATACCTACCTTTATCAAAAACAAAATCCAATTCAACGGTAATTAACCGTTGAATTGGATTTTGTTCACAATTTCAAGGGTTTTAATTTTTTTTTCACGGAACCCTAATTTGTTTTTTAAAATAAAAGTAGCCTAAGTTACTCCTTATAACATCAGCAATCTGCCAGTGAAAGTCCCGTCAGAATCGGTCCAGACGTTTCGGAGATTAGCCGGAACAAACAGACAGACAGACAAAAATTTATAAATGTCTTTTTTGTTATAAGTACCGTAGTAAAAGGCTGTTATTTTGATATTACAAACAGACACTCCAATTTTATTTATTTGTATAGATATGCAGAAGAAACAGGGTTGGTGATAGCACGCAGCCTTGTAGAACACAAGCGTTAATGGGCTTGTAATCGGAGCATCTTTATGGCAGAATCACTGGAGGACCTAACCACTATGCTCAATGACCTCAATAGTGTCTCCCAACGGATAGGTCTTAAGATGGACATGCACAAAAAAAAATCTTGTGTAACGTCCATGTCACACCTATGCCGATAGTTATGAGAGCACTAAGTTCGAAGTTGTTGACGAGTATGTTTACCTCGGACAAATAGTCCGACTAGGTCCGTAGGTAAGTCCAACTTCGACCGAGAAGTCAAGCGACGGATACAATTCAGCTGGGCAGCGTCCGGGAGATTACGACACATCTCGTCAGGCATACCTCAAAACAAGATTGTTCAACGAGTGCGTGTTGACAGTGATATGGATCTGAGTCCTTCACTGCTGGCCGTATGAGGAAGCTCAAGGTCTATGGAGAGGGCTACGCTCGTGGTTTCTCTGCGTAATACACTTAAAAACGAGGATATGTGCCGTAGAAGCAGAGTAACCGACATAGCCCAATGGATTGACGTGACGATTTGATAAGAGATGGAGGAAATCAATGGATGCAGGTGGCTTTGGTCTGTGTTTTGTGGCACTTATTGGGAGGCCTAAGTTCAGCAATAAATTTTGAAAATTAATAATAATAATAATGATCAAATACAAAACCCACTGCAACATATCCAGATATCTCGGTCTGTTGATAATCAAAAGTTGTCACCATTTAAACATTTCACTGTCCCATGCCCCACATATGAGTCATTGTTATTGTATTACTATTGTGTCTACAAATCGGACAGGAGTGTTAAGATAATTATATCATCATTTATGATTTGACAATAAAGATGCTTTTAATATAACTTAAAAATTGGTTTAATATTAAATTTGTGACATAAACATACCGTATGTCCGTGTCATCGACGTCGAAGTTGGAGGTGTCGGTGGGACTTGACACATCTGGAACAAACGGCGCCTGCATCTCACGTAGGTTATCCCAGTCTAGACCGGTGAACCATGGGTGGCTCTGAAATCAACAAATGCCTTCTTTGAATTTAATTTTACGGATTTTATACTGTTTAGTTCAATGTATAGAAAATGTAATTTATACTTATTTTTGATACGACGTTTCAGGTGCTTTAAAGCATCCGTGGTCATGGGGAGACTTCAGTTTTGATGCCTTGATATCATAGTTAACCGGGATCAGATCTACGTAGAATGAGGTAACAGTGCATGACATTGCAGTGACATGCTTGGATTTATTTTATTAATTATTGATTCCAAGCAGGACGGTAGGGCCCAGTCATCTTCTCTAATGAAATTTGATTGTTTTTTTTAAGAGCGCGAATTATCCTTGTTAAGAATCGGTGTACTTTTGCAACGATTTGTGGTTTTATCTAATCTGATGTAAGAGCAGGGACGATTTTGGACATGTTTACAAACTGCGGTCTTCCCAGAGGATCAGTGCTTAAGAATCTCTCTTCTAATATCTCCCTTTCAAATTGTAAAGTGTCCTAATTAGTAGTACCCTAAATCAGTCAACAAGGGTTTACCGGTAAAATGCTACAAGGCATAAATTTCAATTTCAATGTCAACAATAGATATTATAGAATAATAATAAAATTGTGCACAAAACACATATACACATACACTAAAATAAAGACCTAAAACATACTTTTTCCAAGCCTGTTTACAAGTTCATGTCTTTCCTAAAACATTCACTGTGTATTTAAAATGTGGTGCATAAAAACATATTATTTATTTAAAAATTTAAAATTGTAAATCTTACAAGCATTTATATTAAGTTATTAAAGATGTGATCTGGTAATAATCCATGTAGGGACGGCGTAAGAGACTCTATGATGATTTTTATCTACAACTTGGCCAAAACAATTATTAGGCGCATGACAATAATGCGGTTTTGGCGCCCGCAATCCGCCTCTTTCCCCGCGCTTCCACGTGACCAATGACCGTTCCGGTGTTACGTCCTTAATTCTAATGACGTCTTAGCTATCATGCGCCTTGTTTTGGTCACGTAGTAACTACATATGATGTGTCGTTAAAGGCGATTGAAGGAAATGCCTATCTGCAATTCTGATGGCTTCTGATAAACAACAGTGGTTATATGAAAGATGTCGGGTGACTCTAGTATTCCCACAAAATTTCAATATTTGGATATTTTTAACGCACACAGTCCACCTGATGGTAAATTGATGCTGTGGCCCATTGACATATAAATGCCTCAAATAGTGGATAAAAATAGAAACAAGAGTGGTTATTTAAAAGCTCCGTCGTTGACTTTCCGGCAAATTCTTTTATTTAAAATAAATGCCTTAAATAATAATGGATTAGATAAATATAATAAATACCTTAAAATCTTGCAACCCATTCTTCCCCAGCCTGTTCTCTGAAGAGCAAATTAATCGACGTATCAAATCTTTTGCTTCTTCTGATACCTGGAATTTAAAGACATTCTATAGAACTAAGTGCAATAATTTCAAGAAAATTTCCAAAAAATGTACAATGTCGTATATTTTACAAAATAGTGCTTAAAATTTTTTTTAAAACCTTGTTGTAATTCAGGGCTATTATCAATAGAATAGAATTTAATAGAATAATTTTTTATTCAATATACATCACATGTGTAATTCTTATTGAAAGTCATTTTTTACTTTACCACTGGTTCGAAAAAACCCTCTGTGCTGGGAAGAACCAGCAAGAAACCCAGCGGGACTTTTTTTTTTTAAATAAATTTTACAATATAAATGATTACGAACTATTTAAAAAATTTATTTTAGAAACTGCTTGGAAGCGACCACCTCATTCCCAGGGGTTATTATCAACCATGTATTCATTTATACAATAAACCTTTTTATACAGTTTCAGCTTAATAAAACATTTAAACTTGGTAATAGAGAGAACCTGTACACTTTCCGGGACCTTGTTGTAATAACTTATACATTGCCCCAAGAATGAATTACTGACTCTGTGGAGTCGAGAAACTGGCATCACTAGCTTGTGTTTGTTTCTAGTGTTTACAGAATGTATATCACTTTTTATCAGATTCGAACTTAACAGCGGCTACTAAATTCGCTGGCAGTGCAACTTTGCGCAGTTACCGTCAGTCTCCATAATATACTAACGGTTGCATGATGGTGCAAGGAGTTTAAACAGGGCTACTAGTCCACGAAAGAGCATTGATGTCCTTCACAGTTTTTTTTTTATAGAATGGAGGTGACAAACGAGCACACAATGCACCTCATGGGAAGTGGATTTTGTGGCCTATAGACGCTCAATTAAGAATCAAAATACAGATTCGTTGTCACCCCTGAGGACTACGATGGAATAAATCCAGTTTTCTACACTCACTATACGAAACACAGCAGCATTAAGCTACTATTTTACGATGGTAATCTGTGAAAGCGTGGTCCATCCCCGGTGGAGCCGACCCATTCGTGCTACAACCATAATATAGCTGCAGCGTGACTCTACAATGTTAAGAGAATGGTAGCTGTAATTTAAATACCTGAGCAGCAAGTTCATCCGGTGGGGGGCAGTGAAAACAACGCGCGTGGTTCATGATCTTCCCATATGTTTCCACTAGGGATTCCGCGTAAAATGGCGTCTCGCCAAACAACATTTCGTACATACAAACACCTGTAAACGAAGTTTAAACATGGATTTAATGATGTAATAAATAGAAAAGATTACAATAAAAAAACAGGAATTAGTTATTCCTAGTGGAAATAACTCATTTCAATCTCAGCAGAAATGGTAATAATAAAAAAAAAATGTTTTTCATGGATGTGTCTGCATTTTTTATTTATACAAAAATCTAATAAAAAAACTGCGGTTACCAACCCGCTCGCCAAGCGTGGCAATATACTCCCATGAGCAACGACACTAATAAACGGCCCCCAGTCCCCGGCGGCCCCGCTATTTCTGGCTACGGTGACGACCATGGTAACGGCGGGGCAGGGGGTGCTAAGAATCTCCGGTGGAGGTTCGGTTGCTACCTACGATGACTCGACCTGTCAAATTACAACGCACGCACCCTGAGGACTGACGAGAAGATTGTGGAGCTGGAAGAAGAGATAGACAAGTTGCGCTGGAATATTATAGGATTATCCGAAGTCAGAAGAGAGGGGGAGGACACGGTAATCCTCGAATCCGGCAACTTGTTTTATCACCAGGAGGGCGACCGACCATCTGCCCCAAGGAAGTGTCGGATTTATCGTCCACAAGTCTCTCCTTAACAACGTTGTAAAGACTGGGAGTGTGTCAACGAGGGTGGCGTACCTTATACTCAGAATCACCAAAGGGTATTCGCTGAAGGTCAAAGAGGTTTACGCATCAACCTCGGCACACCCCGATGAGGAGGTGGAGGAAATGTATGCGGATATATCTAGAGCCATGCATTCCTACAAAACTCACTTTACGGTGTTATTGGGAGACTTCAACGCAAAACTAGGCACAAGAAAGAACGGTGAGCTGAAGGTAGGGAAATTCGGAATAGGGCAACGGAACCAAGGGGTTGTCGAAACATCGGGCTCCAGCAGCCCGACGGTTCGATAAAAAATGAGATTGACTTCATTATGACGACTACGATACGGTGATAATGGGAGACTTCAACGCAAAACTAGGCACAAGAGAGAATGGTGAGCGGTAGCGATAACCGAATGGTTAAAGGCACACTGAACCTAAACGTTAAGTTGCAGAGGTGTCGTCTAATGAAGTCAACGCTCCATGGATTAGGGCACGAGGGGGCTCTAATCCAAAGTCCCGAAACCTTTCAGCTCGAGTTACAAAACCGTTTTCAGTGCCTAGATTTCAATTCAGTGGACGATATGAATGACAAGCTAGTGGAAACTGTCCATACGGTCAAAGCTAAGTTTTGCAAGACCCGCCGCAGAAAAACACAAAAACTCTTAATCTCATGCCTGTAACACGGGAAAAGAAGCTGTAGTCTTCGGTAGATTTGACAACAGACACCATACAGGCAACTGAACAGAGAGATCTTCAAATGCATGCAGCGGCCTATTAAAGAAGCGATCGAACGGAACCAGGACTCCCAAAGTCTTTGCCAGAGATCTGTCTGCCAGAAAGAGCCAACTGTCGAAACTGAAGACCGAATGTGGCAGCATCGATTCCGGGACACCTGAGATTTTGAATGAGATTACACGTCATCGTCGGGGACACACTCAAGAGTGAGTAACGAGCCAAGAGCAAGTCTTATTCGACACTATTCCGATGATATCCCGGGCGTCAGTCTGAGCGAGATTGGAATGGATCTCCAGCACCTTAAAAACGGCAAGTCCCCGGGCGAGGATAGAATTACTTCTGAAAGCGGGTGGAAAACCGGCACTTAAAGTCCTTCAGAAGCTCTTTAATTCCGTTCTCCATGGTGGCACTACTCCGGAGGCGTGAAGCAGAAGTGCGGTGGCTTTGTTCTTCAAGAAAGGCGACAACGCTTTCTTGAAGCACTACAGACCGATTTCCCTTCTGAGTCGCGTCTACGTGCTGTTTTAGACAGTCTTTACGAATCGTCTCGCACACAGACTGGACGACTTCCAGCCTCCCGAACAAGCCGGCTTCCGAAAAGGCTTTAGCACCATAGACCACATACATACCCTTCGGCAGAACCAGAGTACGAAAACTATCCAACTATAGAGAGGTGTAAGACAGGGTGACGTAATATCCCCGAAACTCTTCACCGCTGCATTGGAAGAAGTTTTCTAGGTACTGGAAAGGATACGGTATTAACGTCAATGGCGAGTACATCACCTTCGATTTCTGACAATATAGTCCTTATGGCAGAATCGTTGCAGGACCTCAGCACTATGCTTAATGACCTTAATAGTGTCTCCCAACGGATAGGTCTTAAGATGAACATGGACAAAACAAAAATCATGTTTAACGTCCATGTCACACCTATGCCGACAGTTGTTGGGAGTCAAATTTTGACCGAGAGGATTACGACACATCTTCTCGTCAGATATACCTCAAAACTAGATTGTACAACCATTGCGTGTTGCCAGTGATGGCCTATGGATTTGAGACGTGGTTCACTTTGTCCTTCACTGCTGGCCGTATGAGGAAGCTCAAAATCGCTCAGCGAGCTATGGGGAGGGCTATGCTCGCCGTTTCTCTGCGTGATAAACTTAAAAACGAAGATATCCGCAGTAAAACCAGAGTAACCGATATAGCTAAAAGAATTAGTATGCTGACGTGGCAATGGTCCGGCCATATAGCTCGAAGAACCGACAACCGATGTGGAAGAAATGTCCTCGAGTGGCAGCCTCGTACCGGCAGGCGAAGTGTAGGGCGTCCCCCCACTAGATGGAGTGACGACCTGGTAAGACATGCAGGAAGTTAATGGATGCAGGTGGCTCGGGGCCGTGCTTTGTGGCATTCCTTGGGGGAGGCTTATGTTCAGCAGTGGACTTGTGAAGGGCTGTAATGATGATGTTGATGAACCTCTCTAAAATTTTCGGATATAATTTAGTATAGATCACTCCTGGTATTACTCTCTATTTGCTCGTGAAGCTTTATTATAATCGATTCAGCTATTCCAAAGATTAGCTCAGAAAGACAAAATTTAAATTTTATTTTATACAAAAACGTACGAAAATCGCATATCGCAACATATTTCTTCAGGTTTTACCGGCGGGTATACTCAATACATAGCGACAGTGTGCAAGCGAGAGCTGAATAGAGGCGACGCCATTTTCAATCCCATTCTTTAACCGCAGTGGTTAACAGTACGTAGTACATAATAGCTCAATGTCATGAATAACAATTTTTTATTGTAACCGTTTCTGCTGAAATTTAAAATTTAATCCACAATTTAATAAATTAATTTAATAATATAATTTATCATGTACTGGCAGTGTAAGAATATCCACTAACCCCATTCCGTGGGTGTCGTAAAAGGCGACAGATAACGACTAATAATAAAAGACTGCAGTTGCCAATCCGTTTGCCAAGCGTGGCAACTATGGACTTTAATAGGCTATAACGGTAATGGTAGTAATAATATCAGTATCGAAATCAGTGATATACATGCATTCTTTAGTTTATTAACTGTCACCATTTACGAAAGAAAGGGCGCCATAGACGGAAGTTTATCGACAAAATAGGCGATATGTATATTGAAGCTGGGCCAAATTGAAATTGCACGCAACCGACTTGCATATTGTTTGACCATGATAGAAAGATGTGAAAGAAGCGAGAGAAATGTGTCAGGATCGCCAAATGGAAGCCCATAGTCTCTATTATCTTATTGTTTATGTATATGTATTACCTTTGTATTTACAAACTCACCTAGTGACCACCAGTCACACTCCGGCCCGTAGCGTCCTTGTCCATCTTCCATGGCCTGTAAGAATTAATATCAAAGTTAATTTATAACTTTAGACAGAACAGGTTTTTTTGAAGAATATAATGATGACAAATAAGCACACAGTCCATTTGATAGTAAGTGGATGATGTGACCCAGATGTCTGTGCACCTAAACCTGGATTAAAAAAGTGTAGTTGTGTTGGCAGCCCTAAAGACTAAAGTAGAATGCCAGCACATGCCTATGAGGTCTACTTTCTATATTCTCTATTAAAGTTCTTTTCACATTCAAACCAAAGTTAAAATAAATAATTATTTTATAGAAAAGAAAAAGACTGATACGAGAACACGATCCACATGATGGTTAGTGGACGCAGTGGCAACTAAATCTATCCACTGTGAAGAATCAAAATATAGATGCATTGTTACCCCTGAGTACTAAGATAAAATGCCTCGATTCTAGTAAAAAGGGTCACCGGTTCTCTATACTCATCATATGAAACACAGCAGCATTTAGCTGCTATTTTACGCTGGTATTGGTCCTTACCCGGTCCAGCCGACCAATTCGCGCTACAACCATAATATTATTGATGCAGAATGACTTTACCACATTAAAACGTATAATTAAAAATTTAGGATCTTAGACAGAAAATGTATACAGGGTTATTTTTCAAAGACTAGCCAAATTTAATATTTAAGCTCAAAATATAACTATATATACTATAACTGATATACACTTTTTGCAGTTTTTAAAAATACGCGTAAATATGGTTTCTACTTTTATTTCAAAATGTCCGGAATTGAATGTGATTTACGGGCAACAACAGTGCGCGTGCGTGTGTGTCAATGCACGGAGCCTTTGCCTACTGTTTACTTTCTTAATGATACGCTCAATACTATAATTCCAATTTTCCCTTCATACTTTAAACGGGCTTAGGTACGTCAAAATAAATAAAATATTTTTTTTTCAACGGCGTGTGGAATGGATGCTATGCAAATAAAAATTCTACACTCTACGAATTAAATATATTTTTTTACCCCCACACAAAAGACAGTTCGAAATACAAGTTTAGACTACGGAGCGAGGGAGAGAGGTGGAGCATAAATGTAACTAATTAGTTGTAGAAAAGATAGCTGAGCTAGGAAGCCGATGATAGGTTGACGCGATTTAAATAACGCTTACTCAGGCGGCGTGAGCGTAGCGTTTAGGATTGAGTTTAATACCGGCCAGTCCGGTTCGGCACTATTCGCACTGCTCAGCCGACTCGAACATCGCGTCGGCGCGTACGCCGTTCGGCGTAGAAAGGCGTAATATGTTTATTATCATAATTTTACTACTTAAAAATGCAATCACTTAAAATGACTCTAACCATTCATAGAAATGTTTTCGAGGTGGACCATCGTTATTATTCAGTGCTTGTACACGTTGGTAATGAAATGAGCGATATCCAGAAGAATTCAGTAGTATCCACACGTACTGGCTAACTCGGAACTCGATCTCTCCTATAATATTGTAGTCTTTGACTCGATCACTGTGTTTTCCACAGCCGAACTTATTACTGAATGACCACCTCGAGCACTTCCATGTGACGGGGTGGTGAACTATCTAAAGTCTAACAGCGTTTGGTTATCTGCAAAAATTGTTCTCCGATTGGTGGTACACGTGCGTTAATTCCTTGTTTTTACAAACACAGTAAACACTGTAATATTGCACCATTTCATAATATCCGCGGTTCGAATATTTTTGTTAAGTCATTGGTAACAAAGTGTCGGTAATGAGATCACGGTCAACACTGTTAGCTATTGGCTTGGCTGGGCGAACGGACGCAGGTACTTAGCGACGTGACGGTAAATAAAAAAGAGGGGGGGAGATACGCTACAAAGTACCCTTACGAATGTGTGCGTGCATAAAATAGTAAACGTTACATATTTATAAATGAAAGTCAGTTAAAATAATGCATTACCACGTATTTTGAATTTAAGATATAATAATGACAGAATGTTTGAGATTTTTTTTATTAATTTTTCTTCACCATTTGCCTATATTACTTATACTGAACCTTCTCTGCAAATTTGGCCGGTAATTGCAAAATAACCCTGTAAATCACAGCCAACTAGCTTAATTAGCCATTCAGCTAAAAGTCCAGCCTTTTTACTTTATTATGTACTAGTAGGCCCTTAAACTAGCGGCCTGAATGATATTCAGCCGATGCGTCTAACACAACATTGCACAAATCTTGTAATATCAACGACAGTAGGTTAAGGTGCGGCCGCGAACATTTATTAATATATAGCACATCGCGCTAATTAGGCACAGACAAGCGACCATCTCGATGAATGAAATGAATAGAGTAACCATGTCTTGACTGTTAACTAAAAGGCTAATAAAACTAGTTGACTGCGACACATATTTTTTTTTAGAAAAGTATAAATTTTATTATTTCTTTAGGCTTACCCTTAAAATCTCTGGAGATATGTAATCAGGAGTTCCAACAGCAACATTACTTTGTACCTAAAACAAAGAAATAACATATAGTCCGTACGGATAAAAAATGGGATTAGAAATGGCGGCTCACTAACAATAACTAAAACCGGCTATTAACGGTATATCGTTATAACGTTATATTATTCCGTTAATTGTAAATTATCTATTGACGGGAAAATATTTGAAAATAATTGTATACATTGTATATATATATATTTTAAAATTAAAGCAGTTACATTAATTTTAAAATAACATTAAAAACTAGTGACCCGCTCTGGCTTCGCGTGGGTGAGATCTATTAATGTGGCGTTATTTGAACTAAAAATATCATTAAATTTATTTGACTTAAGATAATCATTAAAGACTATTTATTTTATGTTATCAATATTTCTATTTTAATAGAATTTCTAAACTTTTCGGATAAAATTTTGTCTAGATCACTCCTGGTATCTCCCTATTTTTGTTCGTAAAGTTTTATTATAATCGGTTCAGCAATTCCGAAGATTAGCTCGGACAGACAATGAACGAAAAGTTTAAAAATGGATTTAAAAAGTCATGTCTTAATAGCTTGCAAGCTTGCAAATATTTTATACAATGATATTAACAAAAAAAATCAACAATAATTATAAAGAAAACTCAAAATGCCTCGTAGCTAACAAATTAGCGAAACCAGACTGTTTTTTTTTTTTCGTATTTTATGGCATTTTGTTATCATTGACTCTAATGATAAGTTGAACTGAAGTTATAAAACGTACGAAAAACGCATATCGCTACGTAGTTTTTTTTTTGCAGATCTTACTGGTGGGTGTGAGTATAGATAGCGACAGTGTGCGAGCGAGAGGTGGATGATAGAGGCGACGCTATTTTCAATCTCATTCTTCAATGCACGGGTAGTTTGAACATATTTTGTATTTTATGAGATTTGTACCCTCTTAAAAATACAAAATATTAGTGTTATACAAGCAAGTAAAGACGATTGAACGCTTTTCATTCGTGTCTGTATCGGTCTATAGGTTCCTATGTTCAAGAAATATTTCGTTCTCCATCGCAATCATCATCATCATCATCATTTCAACCCATCACAAGTCCAAGATCGAATATAGGCCTTCCCAAAAGAATATCATCATCCATCAACTTGTCTATGACATCTATCAGTTGTAGATTTGATGTGCATCATTAGAAAAAAAAAAGACATCACTTGATTCATACCAGTGACAAAATCAACCAGTAAGTAGAGAACAACTTAGTTGTAAATTCGTATTATTGGATCTTGTTGTAATTTGGTACAGATTACAAGTGTACATCTTCACCGTCAACATTACGAAGACTGCCTTTACAAGAATACGCCGGCTGGCACACATTTTTTAAAAAAGATGATAAAAATGGATAAATAAGATGACTGCATAAACTATTACCTTGCCATCATCACCCAGCCGCAAGCAAGAGCCGAAATCCGCCAGTCTAATGTGTCCGCTCGCATCCAGTAATACATTGTCTGGCTTTATGTCTCTGCAAAGTGAAACAAGTGGTAAAATAAAAATAAATTGTACAACCGACTTCAATATAAATAATTCATTGTCGATTTTCTTTTAAAACCGCTAGACCGATTTCGATAAAATTTAAATGGGACCACCTGATAAATATACCCTTTGAAACAAAAAAAAAAAGAATTTTTCAAATCGGTTCAGGCGTGTTGGAGTAATCGGTGAAAATACATAAAAATGGATGGTCGACTGCTATGTAACAGGCCTCTTGTAATCTGCTGGTTGGTTGATTACAAAGCCACTGTTCATTAAATTGTTTATAACTTTAGCAGATGTAACTCACTATAATGTTTAGTACTTAATTATTTAATTTTTAAGAAACTTTTATCTCCACAACGGTGAACTGTATTGTGTTAATAAATTAAATTAAATTAAAAAAAGATTTTGACGGATTGAGAACCTCCTCCTTTTTTGGACTTAGTACGTGATTTTTAAACAGTTTTTTAAACTACTTTTTTTATAAAACAGAAGTGGCAAGCAAATTTCAATCCTGAACAAAGAAGGCTACAGTCTCTAAGGACTTATATGAAATGCCTCATAGTCTGTTACTATACCGACTCTCTGTACCTTTCTGTACTGAACACAGCAGTGCACGCAATTATTCGGCGGCAGTTATGGATAAAAGGAGTCCTACTACTATTGTTCTTACATTATAATTGACTTCGGATTGTCTGTGGGCACTATACTTTCTACGTGGTAGAACCATGCTGCAGGTATATTAGTAGTATAGTTGTAACACGAATGGGTCGGCTCAACTGAGGAAGGACCACGCTCTCGCAGAATACCAGCGTAAAATTATTTATATTTTATTTTTTATTATTTAAAAAAAACGTTAGCCCCACACTAGGATTTTCTCCTGTGTCGTGGAGGCAGTTTACAAACATAAATTGCACAAGGACAAACATCCAGACCCGGAACAATTATTTGTAGGCCATACAAATACTTGTTCCGTGCGGGATTCGAACCCGCGGCCCCGAGCGCAACAACTGATTGTTAAAGCCAGTGCGCCACAGAGCCGTCTAACAAATAGCAAATAGCAGCTTAACACTGCTGTGTTTCGTATGGTGAGTGTAGAGAACTAGAGAGCCCTTTTAGTGGAAACGAGGCATTCCATCTTAGTACTCACGGGTGACAACGCATCTTCATTTTGATTCGTAATCGAGGATAGATTTAGATGGCTATGGGCCATAGCAACTACTCACCATCAGGTTGACTGTGAGCTCGTTTATCACTCTTATCGTATAAAAAATATGAGATCTCAATCGAATCTCGAGACTGTCGTGTGATTCGGTGTCGCGGTCGGACGGTGTGTAAGAAAAGTTCGACGTACGCGCTCATAATTAAAATATATACTCTTAAATGGCTGTACGGATAATTTTGTGCTAATATACAAACATACTGTTGTATTGCATACATTCCAACATATTTGCAGTTTATAACCATCATTTCGAAGAAGGATAGTTATAAGGATAGCAGCAGATAACCTCCGGCAGGAGGCAGCTCAAGGATCACACCGCTTCTCCATAGAAAGCCGGTTAGTTATTGACTTTCCGGGGTGATTATGCCAGTGAACCGCAACGCGAGCAACACCAGGGCCAATCTAACTGCACCAATGACTTAGCTGTCGAAGGCTCACAATAGCGTGAACAACCATTTTACTAAGCAGCGTCAAAGAAGCTCACATTTGGTACTGCGATCGTCAGATGCAGGTGTTCGATGACTGAAGTAGTCACCATCAGGTGGTCTTAAAGAACGTTCGTCACTTCTATTATATATAAAAAAAACCAACACTATGTACAATATTACATACCTGTGTACATATCGCAGCTCGTGCACACTCTGTATGGCAAGCACCATCTCCGCGATGTAGAACTTGGCCATATCCTCGGGCAGCCGGTCCTCGAACTTAGACAGCAGCGTCAGCAGGTCGCCGCCGCAGTAGTAGTCCATCACAAGGTACTGAAAGCATCAACAAATTAAACATATTTCTCAATCGTCCAGCCTTAACCCTTTCAAGGTACTTTCCTATCATTTAATCGTGGTCTTATATCGAAAAAGACCTATTACAAAACATATCATCAATATATTCAGGACAATGATATGTGTATTGTATGTACTGGGGAAGAACAACGCCCTCAGAGAACACCAGCGTAAAATAGCAGCTTAATGCTGCTGTGTTTTGTATGATGAGTGTAAAAAAACAGGAGACCCTTTTTACTGGATACGAGTCATCGCATCTGCATTTTGATTCTTAGTCGAGGATAAATGTAGATATCTATTGACCACTGCATCCGCTTACCATCAGGTGGGCAGTGTGCTCGTTTGTAACCCATATACTGTAAAAAAAAAATTTGGTCCAATGAGCTTATTATATATTGTAGCCTTGCAGTAGTATGCTTGGATTTAATTTTATTATATAATAGGATCCAAAGCAGGGTGTTATTACATTTAAACAGCCACATGACTCATTCTTGATAGGAAGTAACGTTCTCACAATAGGGTTTGCAGTCTGTCAAATCTATTGTAACAACAGGGGGACCGTTTAGAATATGATCACAGACTGCATACTTAAAAAATCATTACCAAAACAAAACTAAATATTAAAATGGGGATATGAACCTGAACTTTCCTGACTGGAGTAATGGAGCAAGGAGTTCTTGAATAGCAAACGCGATTTGTTTAAATGTTGCGATAATACAGTAGATTGCAACAAACTATAGACAAACATAAGTTACAACTGAAGCCTTACCAAATTATGTTCATCCTGGAAGGCATAGTGTAAGTTTGTTATCCACCTTCTGTCTCCAAACACTAAAACGTCTCGCTCCTCTTGAAAGCACGCCGTTTCAGCCCTCTGTGAAAAAAAAAAACACATTAATAAACGTCTATACAGTCCGTACAGATAAAGAATGCGATTAGAAATGGCGGCTCATCGAGCCCGTACCGTCAACATACGCAGTATCAATAGCGAAAACCCGTTAATAACAGTATGTCGTTGTAACGTTATATTATTAGGTTAATTTGAAATTTTCTTTTAATGGGATTTAATTTTTATGATTAATGGTTTTTCTTACATTAATTTTAAAATGACAATATAAATAGCGACCCGCTTTGGCTTCGCCTGTGTAGTATCCATTAATGTAGCGTTGTTTAGGCTTAAGATGATCATTAAAGACATTTTATCTTATCAATATTTCCATTTTAGTAAAATCTAAAAATTTATCGAATAAAATATCTCTCTGGTATTACTCTCTATTTTTTTGTTTGTGAAGTTTTATTACAATCGGTTCAGTCATCCCGAATATTAGCTCTGACAGAGAGACAAACGAAATTTTTAAAAATGTTTACTCATGTGTCAATGACATGTAAATATTTTATACAAAAATATTAACAAACAAAATGAACAATAATTATGAAGAAAACTCTCAGAACGCGTTTTGCTCACAAATTAGCAAAACCAGACTGATTGTTTTTGTAGTTTATGGCGTTCTGTTATCTTTGATTCCAATGAAAAGTTGGGCTAAAGTTATAGAACGTACGAAAAACGCATATCGCATTCTTTAACCGTACGGGTAGTATATACTAAATTTGATGTAGTGGCGGTGTACGAATATCCACTACCACATATCGTCCTATGAGTTTAGTTAAGAGGCGACAGAGGAAAACAAACCAGGAGATTTTTCGTTCAAGATTGAAATCAGCGTTTTGCTAATAACAACTAAAAAATTAAAAATAACTGCATTGTCATTGTCAACCTATGAGCAATATCCCCCTATGAGCAAATCTATTTATTGTAACATCTCACAACTAAGGTAACAATGGGCGGACTTAATGCCTACCAGCATTCTCTGCCAGTCTCAAACCCTATCATGGTGAATTATTGTGGCAGGTGTATACTTACTTAATGATCTATATATATCATATTACGCATATAACACAACATGAAATCATTCTTATTATGAAATAATGTCTTATTTCAAAAGGTGTTCATGAATTAATCTCTTGAACAAGCATTTGTTTGGTACTTTTTGTATGTCTTCGGGTAAGGAATTCCAGAGTAGAGTAGCCTGAACAGTATAGGATTTCATGGAGAATCCATTGAAATGAGGTGGAACATTAAATTTATGATTAGACGGAGACAGTAAAACTCTGTCATGAGTTGAAATAATTTAAAATTAAAAATTTTGTAATACAACTGCACTATAAATTATTAAGAATAACTCAAAAATTATTGGTCAGACCTTGATCAAATTTATATGGGTCTACATGTGAGGCACCAACTTTCAAATAAAAAAAGAAGCATCGAAATCGGTTCACCCAGTAAAAAGTTATGGTAACACACATTAAAAAAACATACAGTCGAATTGAGTACCGGCTTCTTTTTGAAGTCGGTAGAAAAGAAAATGAAACCTTTCCTTAAGATAGAAAGAAAATCTATAGGGGAGGCATATGTTCAGCAGAGGACTTTGATGGCTGTAATGGATGAAATGGGTGGATAAATAAAAGTAATCACCTCAGAAATCAATAACTATATAAAGGAACTTGCCTTGAGCATTTCCCATTTGTTCAGTATCTTCATTGCATACACCCTCTCACCCGTTGTTGTGGATATCGTTCCACCAGATGCGGCCACCATGTTGCCACCCTCTGAGCCCTGCAAACAATTTAAATTAAAGCATAATTTTAATGTTTCAACACATCTAATTGCTTTGTTTATTTCTAAAATTATAATTTACAATGTATAATGTAGTAATGTACATTGTACAGACTATAATTTAAAATTAAAAATTTTGTACAACCGACTTCAATATATTGTTGCGCGCCACTATTAATGTCTTGTACATGGCAACACTAGTTACCACTAGCGCCCTCTAGTATCGAGTAGCAGAACTAGGAGAGTCAAGATCCTTCTAGAAATTTCGGGACCGATATGTACTCGCGAACATACTAGATGTTTCTACAGTAGAAGGTTCTGGAAACTATCTGAGGCCCTATATAAAGCCGGTATTGACCACGACCGGGGCAGTATTGAATTGGCGATGCAAGCGAATACTTCGAAGCGAAATAATTGCGAACTAAAGTGATCAGTAGTACAATTGTGTTTTATTATTAGTGTGGTTTTAAGTTGTAATTAGTGTTCTAAAATTAAAATGTCAATTTTGGTAATTCAATCGGCAGTTTTTAATTGTCTCGAACCCCAAGCTCGTAATAATATATTATTAACGATAACTCAAAAACTATGGGTCAGACCTTGATCAAATTTATATGGGACCACATGTCAAGCACCAGCTTTGAAATAAATAAGAATCTTCGAAATCGGTCCACGTAGAACAAAGTTACGAGGTAACACACATAAAAAACACAGTCGAATTGAGTACCTCCTCCTTTTTGATGTCGGTAGAAAAGCTTATTTATCTTACTTTTGATTCTTATAAAGCTTTTTTTATATAAGTAAGGGTTTCTATACAAGTAAACTTTTTTAATACAAGCACAAGGTAAGCGATTAAGAAACAAAATATTGATGTGATGTCCACCCCTAAGGACCGAGATAAAATCCTTACTGGTAAATAGAATCTCCGGTGCCCGTCATTCACCATATGATACACAACAGTATTACGCAGATATTCTGAGCGAGTGTGGTGATGTTTCACCGGTCTCATCTATGCTGTGGCATGACTCTTTTGCTTAACTTGTTATTTAATACGTAATCTCGACACTACTACAAGTTATAATTCCAGACAATAATTTTTTTTTATAGGAGAGGGGGCAAACGAGCATGCGGCTCACCTGATGGTAAGTGACTACCGCCGCCCATGAACAACTGCAACACCAGGGGAATCGCAGATGCGTTGCCGGCCTTTTAAAAAGGGGTACGCTCTTTTCTTGAAGGTCCCTAAGTCGTATCGGTCCAGAAAAATCGCTGATGATAATATAATATAAGTATGTGCGGTATGAGACAGGAGTATGTGCGCGAGCAACACTTCCATATTATGTACACGAACTGGTTGACTGCCCCACTACTACTGTATTGAGTATGATATATCAAGTTCAAATCCCGGGTCGCCCGAAATGTCAGTAAATATAGGTTTTTCTGTGGGAAAATTCTCAGTAGCAGCCGAGATTCAGGAAGTTTGCGGTGTTTCTCCCGGATGGCCCGGAAAACACTTAAATCCGCTGCTCCTATGCCCGATCTCTTAACGGTCGTGTCGGATTTCCGTCCCAAAGGACTATGAAAGTGAGGCAATAAAGAATACACCTGTGCTGTCGCACACACAGATGCACAATAATTCTATCCAGCGTTAATGGCTATTCTCTGTTGGGACTGGCCACCTGACCTAAATTCCGTATGAGGGACGTAACATTACCTATCTGGGAAATTCTTCGAAGACCTAACAACTCTAGAATGCAAAGAGAGGTATATGTGAATCCGGTTTTTGTTCTGTATATCATTCACAAATATCACATACAATTTACCTGCATGAACGATGCTCGTACGACGCAAACCTCTCCAAAAGCCCCGCGTCCGATCACCTTAACCAGTTCGAAGTCATCACGAGAGAGCCGAAGCCGTTTGAGAGCCGCAGCAACCGGTTTCACTGAAACAATATGTTTGATTAGTTTGCTACCAATCGACTTGGTGGTTTTATTATTTGGTCCAATTCCCCGTAGGGGTCAATTTTATTTGTGCAATACCATTGAATGCAGTGTGGTGGCGGCTTAAAAGAATCTAGCACCCTGTTTTGTTCCATCTTTACGTGGTAGAGCCACGCTGCAGCTATATTATGGTTGTAGCACGAATGGGTTGGCGCGACCGGGGAAGGACCACGCTCTCAAAGAATACCAGCGTAAAATAGCAGCTTAATGCTGCTGTGTTCCGAATGGTGAGTGTAAAGAACCGGAGATCCTTTTTACTGGAAACAAAACATTCCATCTTAGTCCTCAGGGGTGACAACGCATCTGCATTTTGATTCTTAATTGAGGATAAATTTAGATGTCTATGGGCCACAGTATCCACTTACAATCAGATGGACTGTGTGCTAGTTGGTCACCTTATGCTATAAAAAAAACATATTTGCCTTCACCAAGGAGTGTCACAAAATACAATCCTGAGCCACCAGCATCCATTGGCTTCATATACAAGGCTATAGAACTATAATACCTTTGTTTTGTTTAATACTAACGTAGAATAGCATTGAGCTGCTATTTTACGTTAGTATTCTGTGAGAGCGTGGTCCTACCCCGGTCAAGCTGAGCCATTCGTGCGACCACAATATAGCTGCAGCATAGCTCTACCACATAATAAAAATGTTCTGTTCTGACTCGTAAAGGACTATAATGATGATTATATACACTGTACAAGAAATAAAACAGCTTTTTTAAATTTATATAATTACTAGCTGTTCCCCGCGACTTCGTCCGCGCGTAATTTATTACGATTTGATTTGATGGGTTTTAATTTTTTGCGCGGAACCCTTATTCTTTTTCTAAAATAAAAGTAGCCTAAGTTACTTCTTAAACATCAGCATCAGCATAACAGCAGCAGCAGTCAGACAGACAAAAATTTTAAAAATCGTATATTTGTTATAAGTACCGTATATACTTTCATATGCATAATAGTAAAAAGCTGTTATTTCGACACTACAAACAGACACTTCAATTTTATTTATTTGTATAGATTTGTATTAACATATCTCGTATAGGCGTGCGTTTTATCAAGGAGTAGTGAGAAAGAAGCGAGCGGCGTCACCTAACCTTCTACGAAATGGTGTTGACTTGGTCAACACAAGAAAATAATTTAAATATTACCTACCAGTGCTTTATAACCCATTCATTGTCCCATGAGCCACATATGGTACATTGCTATTGTCTTACTATTATCTGGAAACCGGACAGTGGCAGTGTTAAACAGAGTAGTGTCTCCATGGAAACAAATGTTGGCTACACTAATGCATGGCCTTGGGGTTGACCATATTTTATTAAGGAGAATACTGATATCAGAGACGGCTACTTACCATATTGTATGAAATCAGCTACAGCCTTCTCCCTCCGAAGGCTACTGTTGCAGCACTCATCGTACAACACCAGCAGCATATCCAGCAGTGTCTCCACACTGAAGCCGCTCGTGCGGGGACCTTGCAGGCGTCGGGATACGAACATCGTCTCGATTTGTTTGAGACGTTTGATGCCCAGCACTGGAAAGATAAAATATTGATTAGTTGTGAGGCTATTGCTTTAACAATCAATGAGTGACAATTTTTTTTCTTTGAAAATACCAACTTCAAAAACTAAAAAGAATAAATTAATTTTCACACAATATGGTTGACTGGCAGGAAATGCCAAAACGCCGCCTATTATAAGTCCCAATTTACAATAAAGAATAAATAAAAAATAATAACTTCTGAAGTTGGTGTTGAAAAGACATAGTTGAATCAAAATGGTAATGGTTGAATCTAAAATATTTATCTTCTGTCGTTTTTTTTTTTTAAATAAAATTCTTGTCACATGATCTATTGTATTTAAGTTAAGTAATTTTAAGAAATTTATAATGTCCCTAAATATGATATCATCGAATTTAATATGTGTTATGTTTAATAATAATAATAATAAATCCTTATTTCGGATAACAAATGAGACCCATATCAGAGAAGTTAGAAAAATCACAAAATATTAATGATAATACAGCTACGTGGACGGAGGCGGCCAACATATGCGCACACGCACGCACGCACGCACGCACGCACGCACGCACTTCAATCTAAATAAAATCATAAAATGAAAACATCATCAACGTAGTCGAAGTCAATTAAATACGCATTATTATTATTAAGGATAACTCAAAAGCTACTGGTCATATGGGACCACATAAGAAGCACCAGCTTTCAAATAAAAAAATAATCATCAAAATCGTTTCACCTCGGAAAAAGCCCTGATGTAACACCTAAAAAAAAGTCCAATTGACAACCTCTTCCTTTTTTTGAAGTCACTTGAAAACATATTTGAAAAAAAACTTTATTCCCCCTGGCATTTTCTTCTGTAACTTATTGCCTCCAAGCAACGCTGTCTAGTACATCCTGTATCGTGGAGGCAGTTTACATACATAAATTTCACGAAGACAAACCATCCAGACCCGGTACAATTATTTATAGGCCAAAAAAATACTAACCCGCCGCCCTCAGCGCCGTAACTCATTACTAAGCCACTGTGTCATGGAGTCATCAAACGAAAATGAATCAAATCGACCAAATTGGCGATATTATATGGAAAATGGTCCAAATTAAGAGTACCCTCAACCGACGAGCGTGTATGCGTAGGTATATGGCTGTGGAGGAGGCGAGAGAAGTGTGACAGGTTCATGCCAAATGGAAGTCTGTAGTCTCTGCCTACCCCTCTGGGTGACAGGCGTGAGTGTTTATGAGTTATATTATGTAGTTTAGCGGTCCGCCATTGTCTGAGAAATGGGGGTACGTGGGGCTATAAGTTTCAGAACACCTGCTAATACTACCAGTGCTACAATAAACGAAAATAAGCTTAACACCAAGTGTTTAAGCCCTTAAGGCCAAAGTTGTTTACCATTCTCCACGTCTGTACTAATTATACAAACATACAATTTTATGAATGCAACCATGACTAAATTTAGCCCATACATATTTACAACGACCCAGTGACCTACTGCATTAGGGGCGCAACGCAAACACATGAGGCGGTTTTCAACATCAGAGTTATTTTAACGCGTCGCATCGTTTCTAGTTCAAGACCGCTTTTGAAATTGAACAAAACAAAGAATTTTCTAAAGTCGGAGTTTTTTCCGACCTCATTTAGTTAACTGAAAATAAATAAATAAATAAAAACAAATATCTGAATTAATTTATCGGTTACACACCTTAATCTACTAACCCATATCATCCCGTGGGTGTCGTAAGAGGCGACAGAGGGAAACAAATCAGGAGTTGGGCAGCAGCGGCTTCCTAATAACAACTAAAAATAAAAGAAACTCCGGTTGCCAACCCGCTTGCCAAGCGTGACAATTCCCAAACGGAATCCCGAAACGGGATTCCGTATGTATGTGGCGGGCCTAACAGGCTGTAATGGATGGATGTATAGAAGATAATCTACCAGGAGCACATGACCCACTGAGAGGTGATATTTTCAGATGAAACAGTAGTATTACAACTATGGCAAATATTCCCCCTATGAGGCAATTTATGGGGGAGGACTATATTCGGAAGTGAACTTTAATCGGCTGTAATGGATGGATGTATAGAAGATAATAACCAGCAGCACATGACCCACTGAGAGGTGATATTTTCAGATCAACAGTAATATTACAACTATGGAATATTTACCCCTTATGAGGCAATCTATCGGGGAGGACTATGTTCGGCAGTGGACTTTAATCGGCTGTAATGGATGGATGTATAGAAGATAATTTACCAGGAGCTCATCACCCACTGAGAGATGAAATTTTCAGATCAACAGTAACATTACAACTATGGCAAATATCCCTCTATGAGGCAATCTATCGGGGAGGACTATGTTCGGCAGTGGACTTTAATCGGCTGTAATGGATGGATGTATAGAAGATAATTTACCAGGAGCTCATCACCCACTGAGAGATGAAATTTTCAGATCAACAGTAACATTACAACTATGGCAAATATCCCTCTATGAGGCAATCTATGGGGGAGGACTATGTTCGGCAGTGGACTTTAATAGGCTGTAACGGTAATAGTCCTTAGTTGAACATGCGCTTTTCCTAATAAAGGTAGGATTTATCATAGACTCCATCTTTGATGAACGGATTGGTAAACGCAGTACCAGATGCGATTTTATAGGTACTCCTTGTTTTGCTGGTGCGGATTTACACTTGACAATACGTGGTGGATATTACGCGAACATGATTTAACAGCCACGAGACATTCCAGACATTTTAGACACGCTCAGGAAGAAACTTTCTTTCATATGATAGCTTGGCAACTATGGCATATATCCCCCTAATTATTGCATAAAGGTTGCTGCCGCAGGGTTACGAACCTCTACCTCCATTCTAATCGCACTATCCTACCTCTGATCTAATCGCATATGTAGGGCTATCAAACGTCCTTTTTCTTAAAAGACGTCTTCCATTTCACACTCAAATATTGTTCTCGTCCCCTAATTTGAAATATTTCATTTAGTATTCGACGTTCTCTCTGCTAGTTGCTGTTGAGGTCTAACGGCACAGGCGTGGCGCAAGAATGGAACGGATAAAAGCGGCATGCCTGTGCCGCGCCGCTTGAGTTCACGACACGCCGCGTTCATACATTTTATATGAAAAAGTTTTGAAGCGATACGATGCCTGTACCGCGCCGTCACCTTATGCCGCTTCTGTATGATTTGCGCCTAAGAATTAAAAAATCACGTTGAGGCACAGAATAAATAATAGTACTACGTAGTTGAGGTGACACATTATATTACATTGCGTAATTAACATTGCCTTTTTTTATTAATAAATGTCGCTACGCATACCATAGCATTTTCTGCGGACTTCCAAAAAGGAGACGGTAGTCAATTCGACTGTATGTTTTTTTTATGTGTGTTACCTCATAACTTTTTAGTGGGTGAACTGATTTCGATGACTCTTTTTTATATGAAAGCTGATACTTCTCGTGTAGTCCCATATGAATTTGATCAAGGTCAGACCAATAGATTTTTGAGTTATTCTTAATAACTTATACTGAAGCCATTTTGTCAACATTTTTAATTTTAAATTATATTGAATACAATATTTTTATCCTATGTCAGTTTTATTTAATTTTATGAAATACTCTGAAACAAACGGAAGCTGGCAACCCTACGCATAAGTGTAACCATCTGATATTGGTAAAACAGGACAAATTCTTCATCAGTCCGTAAAATATATATAGCTCGAACAACCGACAACCGATGGGGAAGAAAGGTTCTCGAGTGGCAGCCTCGTACCGGTAGGCTAAGTGTAGGGCGACCCCCCGCTAGATGCAGTGACGACCTGGTAAGACATGCAGGAAGTCGATGGATGTTGGTGGCTAAGGACCGTTGTTTGTGGCATTCCTTGGGGGAGGCCTATGTTCATCAGTGGACTTGTGAAAGGCTGTAATGATGATGATGATGACATTCTGTAAAGACTAGGAACAAGCGCAAGCTAGTTATACCAGTAACTAAATTCCAAAGCTACTGTGTTTCATATGGTGAGTGTAGAGAACCGGAGACCCTTTTCACTGGATACGAAGCATTCTATTTTAGTCCTTTGCAGGGCTAGCATGGGCAGGAGACAATTTTATCCCCGTGGAAAGGAGAAAATGTTTATCCCCTCGCTTAGTTTTATCCACCCTTCGAGCATGGGGACACAGTAGATAAAATGGGAGATTGACTTAGACATAGATAGATTTTTGGTATGAAATTACATAAACTTAAACCCACGTCCAATGAACTAGGATAAAATTGTCCCTTTTAAATTTCATAAAAGTATAATTTTTTATCTTTCATTTAATTATGTCTACCCGTTATATCAAACGGGGATATACTTCTCCCCGTTGCCGTGCTTTGGCATAGGGACAAGATAATTTTATCTCTTGTCAGTGCATATAATCGGGGGATAAAATTTTTGTCCCCAGCCCATGCTAGCCGTTGCAGGGGTGCCAACGAATCTACGTTTAGATTTTTAATCGACAATACTTTCGGATATGTACCTCTACCATTGTAGGACGGATTTGCCTCAATCATCTCGGTTGGCAGACGGATTAGCTATCGCAGTACTAGACGTCTTATGCCTTTGACACTACTCCCCGTTGAGGAATAGAATAGAATATAACCATTTTTATTCAATACTAGCTGTTCCCCGCGATTTCGCCTGCGTGTTATTTGGGGTTTTAATTTTTTTTTTTGCGCGGAACACTAATTCTTTTTCTAAAATAAAAGTAGCCTAAGTTACTCCTTGTAGTCAGCTATCTGTCAGTGAAAATCCTGTCAAAATCGGTCCAGCTGTTTCAGAGATTACCCGGAACAAACAGACAGACAGACGGACAGACAGACAGACAAAAACTTTAGAAATTGTATTTTTGTTATTAGTACCGTACTTATATACTTTCATATGTATTTAGTAAAAAGCTGTAATTTTGACATTATAAAAAGACTATTCAATTTTATTTATTTGTATAGATAGATGACATTTAATTCT